AAGATATGTAATCAGCTGTTATCGTAACCGTCATTTTTAAATAATATCGATTGATATGGCAAAAGAATATGCTAAAAACGTAATAAAAAGTATTATATAAGTAGAGCAGGTCCCGACATAGATTCAATATTCTCGGAGTAAAAACTTACATTATACTCATAAAACTAAATGTTACTCGAAAAGAAAGCTACAGGAATATACTCTTCGCGTGTCTTCACTCAATTTCGCGTCGACTATCCAATTTCATCCGACCGAATTTCGCCACGTAAACGCGAATTCACCGAAAGATTTCACGCATGCATATCTCTTGCCGATTCTTTTTGTTTATTATGTATGAACCGAAAGAATATATATCCGCGTAAGTCTTCTCTTGGATTTTTCTGAAGTGTACTTTATACATAGAATATCCTTTTAAGAAAATTGGTTAGGAAAGAAGATAGAAAAAGATATCAAAGGAATGCATAAAATGTTGATATATCGAGACATTGGTATCGCCAAGTAAACTTGTTTTCGACCCACGATTGTATACAAGGTGTTCCATTTTATTAACTCTGTATATTATTTCATTATCGTACAAATGGACGGACGATCCGCCACGTGCAATACACGTGTAACTTTCAAATAAACAAATATGCAATGAAAGTACGAGCGAAGTAGGCGGAGGTAATCGCGCGTTTTCTCGCCCACTGAGGATGCTAAAATACGCTCCGGAACGATATTCATGAGATATTCACATGCGAATACCATTCTGCCGGTTTTCTTTTCGACGAATTCTTCGCGCGTGCGTGCTTATATAACCTGCCGGTTATTTAAATTAATATGGAGCCATTTCAACGGTGAAACGGCATGAAACTTGTAGGATGATCATCGAGTCGCCTCGTTTTCATCCATGGTACGGTATGATCATAGATATACGACCAATAAAAACAGACAGCGGATGAAACAACGTCAAACATCCACGTTGTTAAAACCAATTACGACAGATATGTGTGACTGCGTACCGATAAATCGTCGTAGATCGGAAAATCTCTACGTGGCGAAAATAGTTTTCTAAGATAAACAGATCTCGTCATCGGTATTAGATATGTTCGTCTTTAAAGAAATAGATGGAATGGCAACAAATATTCCACATATAGTTTTCTTTAAAATCTTGTCTATAAAAGGAAAATAAAATATTTTTCTCAGAGATATCCCAGAAGTTTTAAAGTTCATTATTTTTACTTCATTTATCTTATAATTCCTGAAAAAGAAGTTTAATGATAGCTGCTGAGTGTTTAGTAAAATGCCAATGAAGTTTAAATGTTTTGTATAACCAAAAATATTTAGGGAAAATAAAAATTATTGGTTATATTAATCAAATATTTAATTGACGTCATTTCACTAAACATTTGGGAGCTATTATTAAACTCTTTTTCAATAATGTTAACATAATATACAATATAATATACAAGTAAAATAACGTAAAATTCAAATAAAAAATGCAGAATTAAACAATAAGTTGAAAACAAAGACTTAAAAGATTACGAATCAACTAATAAAACGGAATTATGGATTAAAGCATTCTTTAATAATATATTCTTTAATAATAAATTTAACATTCTTTAATAATAAATTAACACACATTGAAACTTAAATGTACTAAATAAACATGAGATTATAATATTAGATCAAAATGTGAAATTATAATTAGATTTGAAATTATAATTAGGTTCTTAATACATGAATTTTGTATTAATTTAGCATTAAAAACCTTGCTCGTAACTTTTTGTTTCTTATTATTATAATTGATTTATAAAATGAAATTGTTTGGGATGTTCTTGAATACCCGACTTATCACTCGTATATTCATCATGTATCTTTAAATCTATCTACTTAAAGATTAAAAATATAGAAATTCAAAAATGCTATTTCTTTCAGGAAGGATTTAGAAAAAACGTTGGCAGTAAAAAACCATGTGACCTATACTTTCCAAAACTTTCGAAGTGAATCTTACTCTAAAGAGTAAAAGGAACCTAACTTTTAAAGATTGAAACTTGAACTACTCTTTTTCAAGATTAGCTCAATTTTCATTCTTTAGAGTAATTTCCCTTCCAAAGAATTTAGAGAGTTCATATATAAGAGATAAAAATATCCAGCAGAAATTAATAACAAAAAGCACGCAATTCAATATTGCAACGTAATAAACTGACAAGACATCAAATTACCAAACTAATTGCGTCACGGTTCGATTTCTACCCCGAAGCAATCGACGATTATGTCACGCAATAAAAAAAAAAGGAAGTACATCGGTATGGATGCACAGGTCCATAAATCCGCGGTGAAATAAAAAATATATCCTTAAAGAGACATATTTATCGCAAATGAATTCCTCGTGCGCGCTTTGACGTCGTAATTATCAGGAAAAAAACGAAGCCCTAGCAACTAAGCATTTCAAATTCGCTTTCGCAATAAACTGAATGCAACGTAAAAATGCAAGAGACGATAAATCAGCAAGCGAAGGAAAATACTTTGATGGAGACATCGAGACGCGAGGCACACATATAT